AAGAGATGTGACTACACATCAAAAATACATCGGGCTATTATGAAAGTTTTAAAATGTTTAAAAGAGAAATAAAGCAGAGCTCAGAGGTTTGGAAGGTTTGTGCTTTCATGAATATTCATTTCCTCCTCTTTTTTGCTCTTAAATGACCTGGCTGTTTTTGACAGTTGTATCATTTTGTGTGTGTGTGTGTGTGTGCACACTCCACATACAATGTGGGTCATCTCTGGAATTTGAAGCTTAATTCTATGGGATCAACCACTTGGGTAATGTAGGCTCTCACCACTTTCATTTGACTCTGATAGATCTCAAAGTTATTTTCTCATTCTGTTTGAAAGTCTTGCTTTCATTTTTTTTTTAAATGAACTGGTGAGGTGGTTGATCCATTGTGTCATTTCAAAGCTATTAAAAGCACTAAAGCATTTCCTCTTCCTCCTACTGCAATGTTGTCAGCAGCAGAAGCACCATCTGATCTGGCAACAGATTCTTTGCGGAGAGAACCAGAAATGTGAGCAGCGACCGTTAGATTGGAGCAGTGTGATGTATTATCCATTCACAGTTGTCAGGAATAATGCCACAAATAGAATTTAAAAAAAGCTGCACCAGTGGAAGAAGTACTTTTTCTATATTTTTAATGCATGCTTTAAATTGTATGAGCACCTGTTCCTTTGGGGTGACCATCAGTCTGCTGTCACCTGTCAGTCAGTGTCACTTCGGCCTGTATGTCAAGAAGAGGTTTACAGTACTTGTGACAAGACAGTTAGGTTTAAAGTCAGTTCTAAGAGCAGTTTAAAAGGGATTATCAGATATAATGTGCACGCTGTCTGTAAGCTAAACTTTAAAAATTTTATCCTTGCTTGTGATTTTTAAATATTGCAATGAAATACATCTTGCAACAGAAGAAGCCTCTTGGATGAGAGTTGAAACACCTTCAAGAACTTAAAAATGTCCAGTCGCTTTCTTTCAAAGCTCTTTAGACTAGCAGGACTTGGATGACTGAGAAACCTACAGAGACATTTCACTAAAGCTGTTTTCTCTTTGTTCTTTCTGTTTTAAATAGTCCTATTTAGCATTATTATCACTTTAACGCTCAGATCAATCTATTGACGTTAAAGGAGAGTCTTTATACTGTACTTTCTATTTTTTCACTGTATTCTTCTATGATAGATTTTATGATTGGGCAGATGTGATTTTGTCTCTAGGCCATTAATCTGTCCAAATATCCTTAATGAATCTTTCAGCTACCAGTCTGATTCTTGTTCTCCTGCTCTCACTGTGTGCCTCTATCTTTCTGTGACTCATAGAAACTGTCATGTAAACACTTCATTCAAGCAAGGTTAATGAGACTATGATGTTAACATGAATTTGTGTGATATAAATGATCTGCACGTCTGGATTTGTTCAACTAGTCCATTTATCAACATGTGCTAGGGGCCATCATATCAGAATATTTATGAGTGTTGTGAGATGGCATCTATTCCCCAGAGACAAATAAGAAATGAAGGAGCCGATAATGAGGTCTGAATATTGTAAAAACAGAATTACAGATAAGTAAGTCCTTTTTCTCCCCGCTCACGTGATAAATAGAGTGAGAGATGAGTCATTTGACTTCAAGATTGTTAGTGGAAACTTTAGTATTCCAGGACGGTAAATGTCAGATCACAGTCACACACTTGCTCGCATTCAGTTTCACTCTCAGATGAAAACACTTACACTCAGGTGCTGCTAATATAAATCGATGACCGTGGAAAGAAAAGAAAAAGAAACCCCTTTCTCTCCTGACACTGACTGATAGGTCAGCTTGCCTTTTAATCGCAGAGAACACGGAAGCTTGGCTCACGAATTCTCAACACAATGTACTGTACAGTGTTTGAGCAACCACCTACTGTATAATGTGCAGCCCAATGTTTTCAGCACTTACAGTAAGCATTACATCACTCACTCCACGGCGGAGGCATCTCTTTCTTTCACCCACAAACACAAACGAACACATCGAGCAGTATTTGCCAAACCAGTGGTGTCCAGGATGCTGACCTCCCGTTGCCACCAGTCAACCAGTCAATATCATTGTCAGTCTGGAAATGACATCCACTGTCATGGTAACAGAAGTTTTAGCATTTCCACACTCATTTAAATAACATTTGTTGACACTATATGCACATGTGTAAATGTGAAAGAAGCCACATGAACGCTGCAAAGATTTTTTTATTTCTATGTGTTTTAAAACACTCAGTCAGCTGCCTCTCCATGCAGTCCACTGTCCTGGACAGCAGCTGGCAAGAAGAGTACTGACTCTGCTCGTGTTTGGTGTATCAGTGCATGAAAATTCAGAACAGGGTACAAGGGTTTTTGTCAAACTGGTTTATTTATGTTAAAAACTACTTCTCTGTGGGTAACCTAAATGAGCTCCTGTCAGGTTATTGACCTTGTTCCAGTCGTGATGTGAATGCACAGTGAGAGTGAGGAAAGAGAGCAAACACGTAATCCATAATCCATAGCTGCCTGTGTGCACTGGAAACAGAATCAGCTTTACTCAGTAACAGGATGTGAGAAAGCTCTGGATGCTTTTGCAGGAGGCCTTCATCAGGCTGCAACTGTCAGAGGAGACCGTGTGTGGGTCTGACATGTTTGTTATCAGATGATTTGATTCATTTACCCCTCTTTTCTTACACTCATGTTACAGGCTTTGACTATAAAAGGTAATGTTTGTGCGGTTTGAATGAGACTCGGTGAGAGAAGATTCCCTCCGAAGCTTAACTTTTCTATTCGTGTGAGTAATTACACAAACTGAGGGTCCAATCAGCATGTTTTCCACAGACAACACTCCCGTTCTTTCACAAACATGCATGCACCTTTACTCTTATGTGCCGGCAGCACGGACGCCAGAGGGGATATTGTAACAAGCATCCGAAAAAATGTTGGTCCAACAAGTGAGATGAGGCTCCGGCCTGAGTTAAGGGGGGGATTAGCTCTCTTAATTTATGCTAATGAATGCACACAGAGCAACAAGAGCTGTGTGTTATTGTGTGACTGATGCCTGTCTCACAGACACACAAAAACTCCTGAATCCATCAGTCCACAACCAACTACAGCCAAAACTCTCTACCATCACCCTGTTTCCTCTGTGGGACTGCGCTGGCTCGGCTGCTTCCACATTCTTGTTTTTGTTATTTGTTTCTGCTTCAGCTCAGCAGACTGTCGTCATTTCTCTGCTTAGCTGCGCAAATTCAAGTTGGTTTTTTGTTGTTGTTGTTTTTTTAAAGGTCACCACCTGATGTCCGTCTGTGACATTAGAGCTATTTGAAGTAACCTGCTTTTGTTTTTGGTTGATATTTCTGTGACATCACAGCTGTCTAAATTGCCTGTGGGGACGCTTAGCCCATGAAAAGCCATGCTCATTTCCTATCAATGGGTTTCCTATCACAAACACACACCACAACCTTTCGACTATTTTTGTAATAATGAAGGCTGGAGGGAAGTCCCACAAACAGACACGAGAACAAAAAGGATTGAAATAAAAATGAGCCTTTAATGGCTGTGAGAAACATCCAGGAGCAACAAAGTCTAATAACTGAAGAAACCATAAATCCAAAAAGTAAACAGAATGGAGCAAAGGGATGAATCCTAAAGGAATGATGTTCAGCACACAAGGGAGCATGCACAGATAAACCAAACCGAGACAGGAAACCTCACAACATTCAATCACCCAAACAGAAATCTAGACTTAATAATAAATACAGTTCCAAAACACCACAAAATCTGTGGGCCAGGAAAACTTTTGGCACTCGTGGTATGTTGTGTAAATCATATAGGTTTGATCCTGGAGAAAAGAAGGCTGGATGCAGCCCAAATACCCATACTGTGTACCAGTGGCTAAAGCCCAGATGTAGCCCACATCTCCAGGTTTCATTGGGTCACAAAAACTGTGCAAAAGCCGCCATCCCTAATTTCTTTATATTTTGCTTCCAAGGATCCAGACTGTCTTGGAATTTTTTAAAGCAGCCTTGAGTGGCAGTTTTTCAGATTTCTAAAGAACTTTCAAAGATTTTCTTTGGACATTGTCTGCTTTTTCATTCACTGCAGTCTTGTATGTGACCATTTTTAGTATAATTTCTTTCTTGTTTGTTAAACTACTTAACACTTACCTATGAATCAGTAATGCATTGAAAGGGTCGTAACTGAAGGGATGAACAACTTTTGTGTCTGCACAAATTAGACACATAGTAAAGAACCAATTTTCCATTTCTTTCACCAAATCTATGAAAAATAACAAAGATGACAGAGTTTGACAGGGATAAAGTATTATTTTTGCATGAACAAGGTGATTCCTAAAGAGATATTAGCCAAAAACATGGTTTAACATGGCATGGTGTGCAGTGTGTCATTACAAAATTTCTTGACGTGTGGAGGACATGAACGGTACCTGAAAATTATAAGAAAGTTCGCATAAGAGAGTCGAGGCTGTGTCACCAAATATTGACTTTTGAGCTTGTGAGAATTGTACAAACTCGGTTTTTGTTATATATGCAGTATTTGACTGAATATTTCAGTAAATCACTGCAGCTATTTCCATTTTTAGCCAAATATGAAGAAATGAGGCTCAAGAATTTTGCACAATATTGTGTAAGGGATGAAAAAAATCAATAAAGTGAGCTATGCAGTGAGAAATGAGTGTGTCACTATACAGCACTGTAACATTAGAGAGCACAGGTACAGTTACTGCATATCCTTGTCATTCCCACAGTGCCACATATTACCAAGATCTCATTGGGTAGATAGGAGGAATACTGTATTATGTGTTGTACTGCCGCCCTGGGATATAAGAGCCTGATCACAGTCGCATGCCACACACACACACACACACACACACACACACACACACACACACACACACACACACACACACACACACACACACACACACACACACATAATGTCCCTACTACCATAAGGAATTTCGCAGGAGCGAAACAGTGATTTCCATTAATGGCAGTGGGCGGCGCGCGCGCACAGCTCGTCTCTTACTGCGATGTACATGCGCGTCCGTAATCGTCCAACCAGCCAGCGAGCCCGCACTCCTCAAATCAGACCCAGCCGAACCAACCCGAGCCGAACTACAACGATCCGAATCGACATCCCCGCCAGCGCAGTCCAAGGCTGGAGAGACGGAATGATGACCTCTTAACGCATCTTTTACGCACTCGACCCGCTGTCCGTCCCTTAAAAGCTCACATTCCGCCTGTTTGCGCTTGATTCGCGTGCTGAGATCATGGACACAGCACTTCTAAGGACCCATATTATCTTCTCTCTGCTTCTCCTTTTCATCCAAATAGGTAAGAAACTGAGGAGGAAAATGATAAGAATCCCAATTTAAGTGATTGTGGTGGCTGACAAGTGATGCCGTGAATGTTTCTGAACGCCGTTTAAAGACCGAGCGGTGGGTCCGTGTTATTCCCCCGGAATATTCGGCACACTTTCAGCCCGTGTTTCCAAATGTGCAATCGGTGGAAAAGACAGAAGGATTACACATGTTGCCGCTGGCTTCTCGGGGTTTCAGGATTGTTGTTTCAGAGGAAGCGTGCGCAGTGCATGCAGCGGTTTCCCTGATCATGCTTTAGACGTGTTGAAGCGTTTTCAAAGACAAGTTGAAGAGTGAATGAAATGTGATGCTCGCTGTGAGCGCGCTCGGTGTTTGATGTTTTATTTGGTGAACGCTCGCGGTCTTCTAAACGCATCTGAGAAGATAAATATTAATCAACATTTTCAGTGACATGACGGGATTCCACTGGGCTTTCTCTGAGTCACAAACATGTAGATACAATCTACATTTTCATTTAAATTGGAAGACGCGGGAATCCATATGAAAGCTTAATGTTTAGCACATTGTGGTTTAAGTACGGTTCTATATAATGTTTGAAAGTACTTTTTGGTTTGGCTGCTGAATTCACGCCTTTAACATTTACTCACCTCAGTTATTATTTTTTGACCTTGTTGGCTCATTTTAACCTCACCTTAATAGCTTGTTGATGCCAAATCACAGATACTCATTCGTGTATTGAAATTGGTACAGATTTGCGTAACAGGTGGGGAAGAAACTGTGAATTCTGTGTATCCTGACTGCAAACACATTACCAACGACTAATAACTGGAATACATAAGCATCCGATCTGTTCAGATTTCATCAAAACCAGATTAGTGGCAGTTCCAAGATCTAGCCCCCTCATGGAGCAAAGCCAAGTTACATGAATTAAAGCGAACAGCGTAGCTTTAGATGGTAACTTTCGTTCACTGTGAAATATATTATAGTAGTAAATTGATGCTGAAATATAACCAATATGGCATATCTAAGTGTTATCATAAAACCTGAGGCAAACAGTAAAATTGAAGTGGCCCCAGGAGGGATTTTCCTGGCACAGAGTCAGGAATTTTTCAACAAGAGTTCAAAAGTGAAGAATGAAATGAAGACGTTTCTAAATTTGCTGAGGTGCTCTTTGAACTACTTAGAGGGACGCCTGCCAATCTCAACCAGCTTCTGTCTGAAGCTGGTTGAAAAACGTTGATTTTGACCTCATAACAAACAGTCAGTTGTTCAAGGTTGAGTCTTAATGAGGTTATCCAACTGATTTTTATTCAATCGGCTGTTCAAAAGGCAGAATCCCATGACGGTCCAGTTATTAAGCCGAGATCAGACGGTTTCAAACGTTTTCACGTCCCGAAACACAAACCTGTCTGCTCCCATTTGATGAGATTTTCTCTGATGACATCCTTTCTTTTTTTTCCTTCTTTTAATTTGATAAACTCTAAATTTGTACAGAAATAGATGCATCATGATAGATGGTACGAGGGAGGGAAGATACCTGAAATCTTCCTCTACTACATGGTTGATTGGTTGGATGGTTGAATTCAATAATAGCAGTGCAATTGCTATTGCTCTCATGTCAAGAAAAAAAAAGAAGAAGAGGATCAGAATCTGCATAAATTCCACCGGCCTTTAACTCCTTCCACCACCTGCTGTCACCACAGGGTAAAGGCCATATCTTAATTAAATGGAGATGCTCGGAATAAAGAGATCTGTGCATCTGAGATTTGGTGTGATCGGCTGAGATCATTTTCTACTGAACTTTAGAGGAGTTCCTTTCTAAGAAAAGCCTTTGCACGGTCAAAGTTTGAGATGAAGTTGTTGGCGTCCACTTGTTGTTGATTCTCTTTGCAATTATCTGATGCAGTTTGGTCCATTGCTTTTTGAATGTTTATGTGAAAGCTTATGTTTTCAGATACATAGTGAGAGAAATATTGTCTCCCCTCTCTCGAGGAAGCACAGCGTCTCCCCCCACCATCTGTCTCCCAATATGCCTGGACACCACACAACATCACACACATTTTCTTGCTCAGCCTTGCTGTCACACTCCTCCGTGCAAACACACACACATACAAATAGCAGTGAACACAGTCCTTTTTGCTGCGCCTTATGCTTTTTAACAGCACAGTCTCCATACAGCGTACATCTGACTTCTCAGTGTGTATCACACCTGCTGCCTTTCATGCTCTATCTGCAGTTTAGCAGGAAGGAGAGGATGTGAGCTTGTGTTCCCTTTTGGATACAACATTTTGGCTTTGTACATATGAAGAACCAAGTGTTTGGAAACCCCCATAACATGGAGTTTTAGTATCCTGTGATCCTGCTGGTTAGAGATTTAAACCTAATCTGATTCAGCTCAGCATGGTGGTTGTCTCCTCTGGTGCTCTTACCACTTCACAGCACTCTGGGCTTCGCTCAGCTCACACGTTAAACTCAGCTTTCCAAACACAACACCTTGTAGCTGATGCTTTTTTCCCCAGCTTGGTTCTGCAGTTGGTTGCGCGGTACCACCAATCATTTTGTATTGAGTTTAGCTCTAGTGTTGAGCTTGGAAATAGTAGCAAAGGCACTGTGGCTGTAATAGATTTGGCAGTGCATGACAGATAGTTAGATGGAGTGAGACAGAAACAGGCTGCATGCTATTGATCAGTGTGTGTGTGTGTGTTTGATCTGTGAGTGTAGTGTGTACTAATCTCATCAAAATTCCTCTGATCATCAGATGAATTTCATGAAGCCCCCTGTGCAGAAAATCTGAGCATTACAGCACCATGCACTGTCATCTCTGAAGTGTTCAGCGAATTGTACGGTGTGCTTGTGAGATACCATCTGGCTGGCCAGTGCACTCTGGGAATTTGAACCAAAGGGGTTGCATCCGGTGACATAAGGATAGGATGCCTGATGGTGTAATAGTAATTGGCTACAAAATATTGGCACGTACATCCTGGCACCCCTAGTGAACTGAGCATGCTCCATGTGTAAACACATCAATTATATAAAAGAAGCAGTCGAATCAGTCAAATAGATGGTAATGCACAATAGACGTGTCTCTTCTGTAACAGTTAGATTTAAAATTTTTACTTTTAAATGAGATCTGTTGCCTTTTTTCCTTTTTTTTAATATACATTATAGAATATTTATTGCTATGGTGGTTGATGCTCATATTAGATATGGTCGAAGACTCTAATAAGAGGTTTATAGAGAATATAATACATAAACTGATACATACAGTGCATACGACTGTCCCTGTGTCCCCTCAGTTTGAATGAAGACACCACCTTGTCTCCAAACTGTTGCCAACTGCTCACTGAGCCATAAGGAAACTTGAAAAAGTGAGATCCAAACCAGAAACGGAGAATGTTTTCCTTCAATGTAAAAGCTGTGCCTTATCAGTGCAACCAACACGTTTCAGAAGGTGCAACAACCAATTGCTAACCAGCAGGACAATGCCCATTTTTCGCTGGTGACTGGAGTTTGCCAAGGGGTTGTGATCATTCTCTTGGGCTCTGTGACAAGTCTAAGAATTAAGAATGAATGAAAATTAGTTCTTTAAGCGAACTTTAAAATCACCATATTGACATTAAATCTGTTACTTTATCAATCTTCGTAGGCAAATTGAACACCACGATAAGCTGTGCAGGTTCGTAGCTTAGCAAAGTCGTACTAAAACATTTGACAGATTTTCCAGCGCCGTGTAGCACATAAATCGTTTCGAGGTCAGTAAACACAACCAGAATTCATACATAAGGCACACGGGATTATAAGCTGCACTGTCGATTTTCAGAAAAATCAAAGGATTGATTTTAAGTGTGCCGTATTTTCCAAAAAACACGGCAATAACGACGGCCCGCTAGCATGTTCTACCAAAAATAGTGCTTTGTTGTGTATCTGACGGACGAAAGCCAAACCAGTTCCACACCACTGAAGTTGCAGCATTTTTACAAACCAATTCTGGTTCATCCGTTTCACTCAACGATCCGCTTTCGCCCTTCTCATTCTCCGTCGCCGCCATGCTTTTTCCACCATGTGCGTATGAAAACAAAGGCACTGCGCATTTACCCATATCACGATATTTCATTTTCTTATCGTTGCCCAACATTATACCGTGAATGGTATGATATGGCCCAGCCTTAAATTAAATCATGACAGACAGTGCACGTTTTCAGCTTTAATTTGAAGGGTTTTACAAAAGTAATGGATTCATTGTTAAGGATTGCAGCCATTCTTGTACACAGAGAGCCATTTGCAGAGGCTCAACAGTAATTGGACAAGCAAACATAATTTTAAATATAAAGATTATTTTTAATACCTGGGCCTAAATTCTATGCAGTGAGTGACTGCCTGAAGTCACATACACATAACATGCTTCCCTTGAGATGCTCTGCTGTGTCTTTACTACAGCTGCCTTCAGTTGCTGTTTTTTTTGTGGGTCTCTCTGCCTTTAGTTTTGTCTTCAGTAACTGAAGCATGCTCCCTTGGGTCAAGATCAGGTGACTGCTGTGGTCATTCAAGAATATCCCATTTCTTTGGCATGAAAAGTTTCTGGGTTGCTTTTGCATTATGTTTTGGGTCAGTATCCATTTTCACTGTGAAACATTGTCTGGTTAGTTTTGGAGATCAGTTTTGACTAAATCTGAACAGAAAGTACACCCTGTACACTTCACAGGCCATCCTTCTGCTCCTATCAGTAGTCATATCATATACACATTAGCCGAGCCATTCCTGCACGTGCCATAATACTGCTTTGGATCATGAGCTGTTCCTTTCCTTCCTTCATACCTTTCTCTTCCAAACATACTGGTTTAAGTTACAAGTCTTAATTTTATCTCTCCAACGAACCAATTACAATGAGATACTTCCCTTCTGTTCTTGACAATGTGACATTGGAAATAACTCTGTGATCATCCACTTTGTCCTCTGTGGCATTAGGCCTTTTGGTGTTGCCCGTACATGCCTTCTTTTTAAGAATATAGAATA